AGGTGCAAAGGAAATCCTTTTGATCCTTTGGTGAATGTGGATGATTCCACGTCTATCAGCAAAGATGAGCTGGCAGGGGATGGGTGCTGGGTCTCTGAAGTGTACCTCCATCGGTGAAGCTGAGCAAATGACCATCAGCTCTGTGGGCCCGAGCAATCATTCCTCACCATCTACAGCAGAGTGCAGCAAAAAATGAGGACAGAAAGCTGAAGGGTGTAGCTGAAATTCATAGTCTTGTCTAACATAACTCAGGAAAAGAAATAGATCAAGGAATTAAGATTTATTTCTGCTTCCACATTTACAGAGCAAACATTGACGTTCCCCACCATCCAGCAGCACTGGTGCTCTCCAGTAAGAGTTAGAGACAGCTGCTCTGTAAACATCTCTGAAATGATACTGAGGACCCAACTTTTCTGCAGAGAGCCACGGCTCTACAACCTTTCACCATCCATTGTTCAGCTCTGTGCCAGTTTTTGCCTTCAGAGACTGTCAATTCTCAGGTGGAACATTGCAAAAAGTCTCCTCCTCTGCCTCAGGGACACGTGCTGCTGCTTTGTCTTTTGAATGAAGCCTCCCACTGAGCCAGCATCTGTTTTACGCAGCAGATTTGGTGCTTAATGATGTGAAAGCTATCTGGTTTCATCCTTTAAGCCTATAACATATACACATTTTTGTAACCATAATACCCAGCACTCTCACTAAATATCTCAACCGTGGTCTTGCAGAGAGTTAAGGTAAGAAAAAGCATTCAGTGCAGAAGAAGGAACTTGTGATATCAAAAATTGCAGGAAAACAAAACTCCCTCCCTCACCTGTCAGCTGTATGAATCCAACTGACCTTTCCACCCATCAGGTCAAGAAGTTTTCTGAAGGGAAAGACTCCACTGTAACACTTTGAGGCTGTTTTTTACGTAACTAAGATATGAAATTCATATGAGATATGGGATTGAGCACTATTCACCAGATTGCAACTGGCTGTACTGCACTGCATGGGAATTTGGAGTAACTTGCCTTCTCTTCCTCATCTTCAAAGAGCTGGATAACAAGTACCAGGTCTTAAAGGACCTGAGTTTCTGTCAGGGAAACTCCTCCTCTCAGGTTTGATTTAATTTTGTGCTTTCTATCTACAGCCCAGAAAGGCAAGTAGAAAAGGAGATGAACAAGTGGTATTTGGAAACAAACTATGAACCCAAAAAAGCAGGGTTTGGCTTGAAAACACTGTCCACTTCAACTACTTTACTTGGAATGCAGAAGGTGAATAAAGACCAGAGGATGCAGCAGGGACTGAATCCAGCAGTGATTCTTGTAAGGTGCAGGAATGACTTAAGGAATTAGTACTCAAATCTACAGACCTCGCTTCTTGAAAACCCAGTGACCTGACACCAAAGGTCCCAGCCTTCAGGGCCTCCCTGGGGACAGATGTCCGAGGTGGTATCCATCCGTTAAAGCAGGGCGCTCAGCACAACGGATCTAATCCACCTAAGCTGCAGCAGGTCAGCCAGCTCAGGGGCAGCCAGGGTGCAGCGAGGCGGGAGAACACGGTCAGCAGGAGGCACGGCCGGTGGTGATGGCTGACAGCAGCCCCCTCCTTCAGGGCCTGGTGGGGAACAGCCGCTCGCCTACGCGGTCAGCTGTGACCTGTGGTGACTGATCACCAGCAGTAACGCTCAGAAAGTGGAACAACCTTGGGAGGTTTCAGCATTATTTCTAGGCAGAAACTACAAGGGGGGTGAAACTGGAAGAGAAGCCAGATCAGTGCCCAGATCAGCTGCTGCTCTGCTGGCCATCAGCCCAGTATAGAACATCTGGGCTGCCATCACTAGAGTTCAGCAAGGGCAAGGAACAGGCATGGCTTGCCTTATGGGGGAACCACCCAGCAACACCTAACTCTGCCATCCTCTTCTTCCTCTATTTGTGTGTCCAGAGAAGGGCAATGCAGCTGGTGAAGGGTCTGGAGCACAAATCTTATGAGGAGCAGCTGAGGGAACTGGGGTTGTTTAGCCTGGAGAAAAGGAGGCTGAGGGGAGACCTTCTCACTCTCTACAACTCCCTGCAAGGAGGATGTCAATCTGTTCAACCAAGTAACAAGTGACAGGACACAAGGAAATGGCCTCAGGTTGCGCCAAGGGCAGTTGAGATGGGATGTGAGGAAGAACTTCTTCACTGAAAGGGTTCTCGGGCATTGGAAGGGGTTGGCCAGGGCAGTGGTGGAGTCCCCATCCCTGGAGGGATTGAAGAGTCGTGTAGACACAGTGCTGAGGGACATGGGTTAGTCGGGGACATGTCGGTGTGAGGTCAATGATTGGACTCCATGAGCTTAACGGTCTTTTCCAATCTGGGCAATTCTGTGTAAATCCATTTGTTGGAACTGCTGGTGTGCAGGTGGGAAGTGCTGTCCATTAGGCACCCAGCTGCTGTAATCCAAACTCCCATGTTCTTACAGCCGTGTTTGGGTGTGACTTGAATGAGAGCCCCTGGGGTTGGAACCCAGCCCATGTTGCTGCCAGTCAGCACAGGGCAGGAGGTTTACATTAGATTAGCATTTAATCTGGATGGTTGTCAGTATAAGAATCTGCTTCTTCCGTTCACATGTTCTGAACATACATAAGGAATATACATCATTTAAAACTGACAGGGAGACATACAAAGTTCATTCGTTTTACAGCACCAACACTGAGCCCTAAAAAAACAAAATTACAAAAAGAATCTTAACCTGCACTCTTCCACTCTTTTTACTTACAAAAATACATCAATTTTCTTAACAAAAGTAAAACTCTGATAATCAAATAAAATAATGAGATTTTCAAAATATAAAAATCCTCTGCTAAATTTCATCTATGGAAGCTTTTATCTTATTTTGTCAGTTCCCATTATCGCTACAATATGCAAAGTGAGGACTGAGTGCATCTCTGTTAGATAAATACCACATTGTCTCTCTGGAGAAAAGGAAAACAGTTTTACAATCAACTAAGCTTACCTTGCAAGAGACTGAATGCAGACTGGGTGTCGTGCAATTTAGAGGCAACTGCACAACTGATCTAGAAATAATATCTTAAGCCACATACGAAGTACTCCCATCAACCACAGCCAGTGGCTTCTGCAACCCTTTTATCACTGGGTTAAGGATTCAGCTTATGTAAACTGACACAGATCCACTGCCTTGTAGCTACAGATTTATAGCAGCTGAAAACATAACCCATTAAAAAACATTAACAGCCTTTACTGGGACTTCTGGCTGTTTTTAAAGAAGACTAATCAGAAATACACAAACACTACAGAGTAAATCAAACCCCCCACACTGTTTTCTATGATGTTTTGGAGCTATGTGATATTACTACATAACTTATCTACTTCAAAGTGCAGTAAACCTGCTATTTCAAATTCCATCAGACTCAAAATTGTAAACAGGCTTATGGTTTTTATTGTTGTAAACATATATGCCCCAGGCATACAAACCTCCATTTGTCCAAGAACCAAAACAAATAAATAGCTGTCAATTCAACAGAAGTCTGAAACATGGTTTCCTCTTACCCATGCACGCTCAAAACGTATGCTTACAAGCTCACAATTAAGCATTTTGCTGAATTAGGACAGTTCATTAGGCCTTAGACCTTGAAGTTGCTTGGAAAGTTGACTTGTGGTCATTGTCTCCAGTGACACCTACCGCAAGGGCTCCCAAACAGCGGCAAGCCCGTTCTCCAAAGGCACTTCTGGCACAAAATCAAGGCACTCTCCCACTTATTCACACAGTGAAGCCAGTGAGCTGCAAATTCATGCCTTGTCTTGCATTGTGCTAATTTCTTCAAGGCAAACAAGCCTTCAATTCTTGGATTCATCACTCTCCTCTCCAAATTTAGATATGTCTTCAGAGTCTGGTCATTTTAGCTTAAACTTGCAGCTAATCTCTGGTGGTCTCTATGTCTCCACTGACTACAGAAGAAGCCCAGAACAACCAGATCTGAACTTAAGTGCTTCAGAAAGTGCCTGAGGTTTGGTGTATCTATCTTTCATCTACAAAATGTGTTCAGCAGTCTGAGTCGATAGTAGAAATGAGGTTTCAGTTAATGTATCTAAAGCATGATGACATCCCTGACTGGGAAAAAAATAAAAATCACCATTTCAAGGTCAGGTGAAGCCTCATTATTATAAAACACTGTGTGCAGGCTGAGAGTAACAGCCATGCCATGGTGTTTTGTAAGGCAGAGAGACTACACCACATGAGAAATGGACAAATGTCATGATTACTTAAAGGCCAAAATTTACAGAAAGTGTAGTCTTTGGAAGGGACTACTGATTTTGGGTCTCCTGAGTGGAGATGTTGTTTTTGAAAATGTTAAGTACTCATTCTCTGACCAAGATCAGTTTATAGGTGTCAGAAGCAAGGAACTCCAGTAATGGGAAATGTAAGGTTCTGCTTAATATAACACCTATAATGTTAAATTACATCAAAATCTCTTTCAGACAAACTCTTAGTGAGAAAATCCTCAAAACATGTCTGCATCAGTGATTTGCTTAATTTCAAAACAAAGTAAATCCCAAATTTATATATTATACTTCAGGATTCCCAAGTGCTTTCCAAACACACTAGTGTGCAATTTAAAGGTAGATATTATATTCAAAATCCACTCCAGCCTCTAAGGGTGAAAAATATCACGTAAGTTAAAATTTGGGTGGTGCATCACATTTACATTTCTTTCCCTTGACCTACAAGTCCAATCTCCTCAAAAATCTCCTGTTGCAATGAGATCACAGCTTTCTGTTAGTCATTGAAAAACAAGCAAAACCCCCTCAAGCCTTCAGTAACTTACATTTCTGAACATTTGTAACATCTTTTTCAGCACAGTGCATGGATTTAGATATGTATTTTGCACAGTGGTGTCCTCTCTTGATTTCATTACTGACTGTGTCAGAACCATCCTTTATCCTTTTTGATAAAACGTGAAGAAATGACCCAGAAGGCTTTCACAGGTTGCATTTGGAAAGTCATTGTATTCAGAGCTTTCAGATCGAGGTGTCCTTTTTGTGGTCATCCAGGTTTTCTGTGCTTTGATGGCTCCTTCTGTTAAAAGCAGAACAAATGATACGTGATCAGACTCTGGCTTTTATTGCTAGCTAATCAAATTACAGTTTGGCAATCCCAAAAACTGAGAACCACCAGTCATGGTGTGGTTTTTATGAACAGTGACTAAAGCACCTAAACAGAGGGTGCAGTCCCATTTTAGATTGTTTAGCCTGTCCCCTCTGGTCTGCAGCTGCCACTCAAGAAAGCAGCTGGTGCCCAAGAGGCCCCTGCCAACCCCATCCAGGTATCTTAGGGCAATGAACTGGTCCTAGATACCCATGCTTAGGCCCTGGGTTGATCCCTTAGAGTGGAAATCAGTTTCCAATTCCAGGAATTTGGGATAATAAAAACAAGACTAGACCAGGTTGCTCAAAGCCTCATCCAGCCTGGCCTTCAACACTTCCAGGGAGGGGGCATCTACAACTTCCTTGGGCAACCTGTTCCAGTGTCTCACCACCCTCACAGTGAAAAACTTCTTCCTAATATCTCATCTAAACCTCCCCTCTTTCAGCTTAAACCCATTTCCCCTTGTTCTGTCACTAACTGCCCTTATGAAAAGTCCCTCCCCAGCTTTCTTGTAGCCCCTTCAGGTACTGGGAGGCCACTGTAAGATCTCCCCAGAGCCTTCTCTTCTCCAGGCTGAACAGCCCCAACTCTCTCAGCCTGTCCTCATAGGAGAGGTGCTCCAGCAGGAGGGTTGGAACTAGATGATCTTTAAGGTCCCTTCCAATCCTAACCATTCTATGATTCTATGAAGACAGAGTAACAACATGTTTTGGTATTTAATCCATCAGTCTGCTAGGACAGACTGTTCTTATACATGTCCTCATTTGACAGAAGTGGGTGATTTTAAGCAAGGCAAGATTTTCTTTGGAGAGAGAGGAAGAGGGAGGACGGAAGAGTGATGGGGTAAAAAGGGAAAGAACAGCTCAAAGCTGTCCTTTTTCTCCCGTGATCTTTCCTGCCTACGCCTCTAAATGATTTGGATATTTCTTATGTGCCATAAATACCAAGAATGCAGTCAAGAATCCCATTTTCTTTTACATACAAGTAAATTTTAACTATTCACATTTTCTCCAGAAATTTAACCTACGTAGAATAGTCTTCATTTCTGGCTTGAAACACTGTACTGCACTAGTGCTTTGTGTGCCACCCCAGAGAAAAAGTAAAGTACAGCAGCTGATATATTTGATAAATGGTCTTCTAAGCAGTAGGTACTACACTACAAAAATAAAATACTGGAGCATGTACTGGTACCATTCAGTTAATAATGCAACTAATAGAGTGTTGTTTTGTTTTGTTCTAAGGAATATAGAAGTGTATGTTGGTAGCTAACAATTTTTTGCCTGGTATGACTAAGAGTTACTGCGGTGATGTTACTGCTGTTTGCTGCCCCTTCAAACCTACCTTAATTCCTCAAGTGCAAGCTTTGTTTCTTTCCGACTTTCTTCAGTAATTGGGTAGAAAAGAAGTATAAATAAACCCACAAGGATGAGAATAGCAGGGACAGCTCCAATGAGGATTTTCAGTGTGAGGATCACATCGCTGGATTGTCTGCATATCCCTGGCTTGTATCCAGTAAACCTAATCAAATGGAAATAACAGTGGTGTGTGTACGTCCAAAGGCAGCTCTTCACCTGAAGGCTCCCTTCTTCCCCCCAACACCCTTCAAGATTTTTCATCTATTTCTCCTACACTTCTCTTTTTTCCTTCCCTTCACTACACATTTCAAATCTTGCTTTTCAAATCTCATTTTTGTGCCTGATTTCAGGTAACTGCATTACCTCTGTATTTTCTCATTATTATTATATAACATCTAACTACTAAGCGGAGCACGGAATCCCATGTAAAAAAACCCAGATGTTATGTGTTTCCTATTGATTAATATTCAGCAAAGTATTTAGGCTTCGCTTTAAAAGTATGCAAGTAATCTAACCAATTTCAACAGCAATAATTAATTTAAACACAAACTTAAGCACTCTTCTCAAGATAGACAAATTTACTCAAGTGCTTAGAGTTCAATACACGCTTACAGTTCATAGATTCAGGGCTTCCATGCAGCCCCGCAACTGCTGATTATGCTCAAATTCCCATTCCCAATTTGTGGAATGAGTTTATTTTCTTCTGAACACGCACCTATGAAAGCTACAGCTCATTTGGCATGATTCTATCTTCTGTTTGTCTCCCACAAACATCTGCCTTGGCAAACTGCTGGGAGCTAACTGGAATGCAATTGAAAAGGGGCTAATTGGTGAACAGCGATTTGTTTGAGGGTGTCAGCAGTAAGCATCTAAAATTCCTAAGCCCAAAATGTTCAGCCAAGCATTGCCTGTTACTTAGCAGTTTCAGCTGAAGGCCCTGAAGCAAAACATTCTAGTTACCAAAACCTAACTTGGAGCCAAGGGTTAGATAGTATTTCAGAGAAGTTCCTTTCCAAGTGTTTATGGCCTGCTTGTGTGCTGTAACATCTACAGGCAAAGGCCCTTTCTGACAGGTCATGTACAAAAGCAGGGCAGGACATGGCTGACCCCTTTCTCAACTTTCTCAGCTTTCTCAACCTGACTGTCTAGATAGAACAGAGAAGGCAAAAGTGGAAAGAGAACACAAAGCATCTTCCAAACTGGCATGGACTAGGTTATGGGCAGAGCTATGAGAAAGACTGTTCCTGACTCTGATCGGCGTTCAGTTACCTAAAACCATGCAGAACTGGTGGTCCTTCTATGCTGAACAGGCCACTAGAGATCCCTGAAAGCATTCCAACCCATGTAAAGACTTACAACCTCACATATGTATTTCAGCCAAGATGCAACAGGGAATGCACAGAGCAGCAGTATCACTTGTGAGGGACCTTTGTTGGCTGAGCTTCCCTGTTTAGTTTTTTATTCATATAACCCACTAAAATTTACATGAGTAATTTGGAAAGAGGAAAATCTAAAGGGAAGTCAGATCTTTCTGCACTGAAACATGGTAGGGCAGGAAGCTTAATGCTCAGTGGTCTAACCTAGATGATAACAACCCTGTCTTTAGTGGTCAGCCATCTGGAGCTGCTGGCACTTTCAGGCTCAGGGCAAAAAGGCAATTAACTCCACAGGGTAAAGGCGGAGTAACCTTAGAATGCTTTCACAGTAGATCCACTAAGTGGAAACACAGTGTTACTTACTCCAGGCCTGCTGCAGAAATTCCTAAACCAATTCCTGAACATCTTGGTAAAGAAAACATAAGAAGAATAGAAAATGGTTTCATGTCCTTTTCCATGAGGATTCTGCAGGCGGAAGTTATCAACAACATCAGGCAGCATTGACCTAGAGATGGGCAAGATAAAAGAAAAACTCAGACCAAAGTCCAAACTTACTGAAAGAGTACACCCCTCATCCCTTTGTAAGATCTGATTTAGTCATGCACACCAAAGAATCCAGTTCAAAAATTCCTACTGCTGGACAGGAAGGCAAATATCCGTGCAAGAAACACATGGTCACATATTACAAAGTAGAAAACCAGCTGAAAAACTAACACACACTTGCTGGGAGGTGATAGATTCTTTAGACTGACTGTCATTCCAATCAGACTTTGTGATGTTAGAAAAAGAACAAAAAAACACGTTTCTGAAGATTTCAAGGGACTCTGAATAGTTTCACTTGGAAATAACTCTTTTGAGAAGCTAACAAAACTTTCAGAAACCAACGAGGCCTATTCTCTCTCTACTTCCAAGAGGTTTAATTTGGTAATGGGAAATCAGAATGGAAGCTGCTCAAATGTCAATTGTGAATTGACTTTTTTTTTCCAATATATGTCATGATTTACTGTTGGAAAAAACAGCTTCTCACCCCATGTGCAGAAAAGCTTATCTAGTCTGACAGCTTATCTCAAACTGTTTCCACGATCTCTTGAGTTTTCAGGGCATTGTACAAATGAGTAATGCAAAACAGAGCTCTCAGCAATGGTCTTGCTTTCTGGTCAATTTGACCTGAATAATAATTATTCCCTCTGGAGAGAAAATGTCCTATCCTGCTCATTCCCAAGTAATTTTTCCCCACATATTTTTTTTTTGCCTTCAAGAGCTCAGGATCTGTGCCAGAGGACTGCTCAAGCAGGGATACATAGCTTGGCTTATGTTTCCTCTGCTACTTTCTTAATTGCTCAGCAGTAATTGATTTATCTAACTTCATCATTCCTGTAGTTCTGTTAAAAACCAAACCTAAGCAACTGATTTACTGTTACTTACTGTTAGCTACTTAGACTATTGATTCATCTACACGCTTTTATGTACAAAGAGCAGCTACAGTTAAACTAGATGTAATCTTTTAACAACAGGGCAACCAAAGTCACGTCACTGCAAATAGCCTCTATTATAAAAAGCAGAAAAAGATTACTGGAAGAAGTGACTCTTGCCAAATTCTGCCTCTTTCAGAGGCAAATTCCATGCAGTAGTACATACATGTTGTGTAGACATATATCTCTTCCCCATCTCAAATGTAAGATTCTCCTACCATGGCAACAGAAGAGATGCTGCAATGCTCAGACCAGAGACGAAGGCCACGAAGTAAGCCAGGATCAGGTTTGGAATGGTCACTAGCATGACTGCAAAAGGAATCATCCACTGAGGAAGAAGAAAAACAGTATATCTAACTTACAGTATGCACTGCTCAAATGTATATAGATTGTTCCCTTCAAAATATGGGATTGTGTTAGGAAACAGTTCACACACAGCAACTCCCAACACGCCAGTATTTTGGTGAAAAGGCATTTCCAAAGAGCCCTGAGCCGATCTGTATTTACTTATCCAGAGGAATCAGAGAAAATCACAGAATGTCAGGGATTGGAAGGGACCTCAAAAGAGCATCCAGTCCAATCCCCCTGCTGGAGCAGGAACACCTAGATGAGATCACACAGGAAGGTGTCCAGACGGGTCTTGAACGTCTCCAGAGAAGGAGACTCCACAACCTCTCTGGGCAGCCTGTTCCAGGGCTCTGTCACCCTCACTGTAAAGAAGTTTCTTCTGAAGTTTAAGCAGAACCTCCTGTGTTCCAGCTCACACCCACTGCCCCTAAAATAGGACAAGTAATGTTAGTACCTTGTCCGTTAGCAGTATTAGGGCTATTACTGCACTAATAAATTAACAGTCCCAAGAGTGTATTTGTCAGTCATGAGGCCAACTGGCAGACCCCAGCCACATTCACACTCTGCAAAAGAAGTGTGATCATATGAATACTTTTTGTGAAGAGCCCTTAAGTGGGCTAGTTCCCAAACTGTGCCCAGATTCTTTTTGGGAGATTGCTAATCAGCTTGTGCTAATATTTTTATGACAGTTTAGTGACAGAGATGACCAAACACCAGTTTCTACTCTAGGCCAGTGGAACTATTTAATTTACTATTAGAGACAAAGTCGAAACATCATCATGCTGCATTTCAAGGAGAGGGGCAGGGGTTCAATGGTCATTTTAAAAAGTAAATAATCCCATTTCACAGATCATCTTGAGTCTTGAATGAAGAGTTTGCTTACACCTTCATTTCCAATGAGCACTTTAAAGCAATCTAGCTACTTGGCAATGGCTAAAAGCAGGAAGGCAGTGTGGTTTACTCCTACTCCACACAGCCAGATACGCTCATGACATCGCACAAGTCACTAAGGCTACCCTCAAAACCAATCTAATTTGGGATGCTCAGTATTTGTTTTCTGGCAGTACTTAAACCCACCAGATTTCCTCGACTTCAGCTTGAAGCAATGGGCTAACAGGATTGAAAATCCACTATTTTAAATGCTGATGGAATGCATACAGCTCAGCTGTCCTGTACTAATCACATGCTCCATCTCCCACCCTTGTGAACCACGGGCACAGCACATGTAGAATCCAGAACCAGGGGCTTTTTATTGATGGGGGATTAGTTTAACATTAAGCGTTTCAATCCTCTATACTTGCAGCTTGAGAGTTGAGGGTATGAGAAGAGCTTTCACAGAGAGTGATTCCCCTAAGCACTGCTATTTGCAGCTTTGTATGATAAGTGATTCTGGGAGTCCAGGAGTCTAATCCATTATGTTTATGTTTTAAATGCGTTTCCCATCTAAAGCACTTGCTCCCTAACCTAAGGAAGCAGAAAATAACCTTTCCTGACTGCAAGTTCCCAGTACAGACAGATAATCCTCGCATTAGCCCAATGTTGTGGCAAATCGTTATTTCACCACAAGAGAGCACTCCAGCAATACAAGATTTCATGTTGCCTATAAGCAATTTTATTACTGCCTTATGCTCCAGATGCAGCATCCACTCAGAAACCAAAGCACTTAAACAAAATTCTAGATCGATAATAATAATCATTGTAACTGTAATTTTCTGCTGAAAGTGAAGCACATCCCACAGGACAGACTACAATGCCCTAAGGTCTCACTCATGCAATGGTAGTGCAATCATGGGGCCAGCGTTCCTGCTGCAATAAACAGCTAATGCAGCTCCTTCTTTCCTACTTGTAAAGCAAATACTCCGTTATTGGCACTCAGCTCCCTAGTCACAGGGCTGCTGCTCTCCGGATCATAAACGATATCCTACAGTCATCACGTGTCTACCATTGATTCCCTCACAGCACTGTGGAAGGTGACCCTGCAGGGATGCTAAAGGTGGTACTGGCCTGTGCAGCAGCACATTATGAAGGGCAAATCGGGAAATGATGCAGCTAGAGTGTGAGTGGAAATGGGGATGGGAGAGTGGAAAAGGGGCTGCAGAGCCAGGATTCATCCAAGGGCATGCTACATGCTGATGGTGCTGATAGATGGCAAATAAGCAATGGTGTAAGTGTGGGGAGGTGAAAAGATTTGGAACATCTTTGGATTTGTTTTAATTTTTTACTAAATCCTCCAAAACTCACAGCCAAAAGCTATTATTTGCTAGGATGGAAGCTAGAGTTGTGAGAGAGAGCAATCTTCCCTTTTAGACACCTCGGCAAAACCATGAACCAACAAGCTGCCACACTTGTTAAAATTTTTCATGACAACTTCACCTCCAGTCACCAGCTGAGAGACTTACTGATTTTAAGTTCAATGTTTGCCCAGTGAGGGCAGAGCAGACAATTTAAATGAACACAGCACATGGAAACAGAAGCAAATAAACAATAAACAAATAATTTCTAGCCCACGCATCAACCTGGTCATGGGAAGAATGCTATCAAGGATTCTGCTTGGGTATGACCTCATACTTCCAGAAAGGTCTAGGCTTTAAACTTCTATAAGTTTAGATACTCAGTCAGTACTTAGACTGTTGGTCATCTCTTGTGGAGGAATGAGTAAAAAGGGAGCAATATCAGTGGAAGGAAGCCAAGATTGTTGCTGCTTATCTACCTGCCCTGCCTTCTATATTCTTTCAGGGGTCACTTCAACATAGAACCACTTAAACAGGAAAAATTAGTCTGAAGCAGTGCAAATTGTTTTTCAGGAAACTGAATTTCAAATTCCATCTTCATTCTGAAAGCTGAGTAAGGTTTTGGAGAAAAAAAACCCCAACAACATGTTTCATCCCTTGTCCCCTTCCCTTCCAGAAGAACATTCCCCAGTGATAAACATAGGAGATTTAAATGACGTGATTCTATTCCACAGTGAGAGAACAGATGAGTTGTACAGATCACATAAGGTGGTAGTATAGGAAGACCCTGCGATGCATTGTCAGACACAAAATCCATCACTGAGCAGAGAGTCCCTTGAGAAATGTCTACAAGGCGAAATAGAGGTGGCTTTTTTTCAATCCAGCCCCCTCTTGAACCATAACAGAGTCAAGCAACTCAACTGTAAAATTAAGTTAAGCCATGTTTACAGAGGTGCTGACAGGCTTTCCAATCATGTTAAACTAAATTTATAGAGTCAAGTTGGTTGAAGAAAGTATTTTTCATAGCCAAGTAGACAGAGGAGGAGATTTCCTGAGGAGGAAATCTGCATTCCCTGGTCCAGTCAATGGTCCAATACTGCCTTTGGCAATTCTCTTTGCTCAAGTGTTATAAACAAATGAGGATGGGACTTGGATTCCAGATGCCTACTTCAAAACACATAACGATTCAGCATATTTGGAACTTTGGTTTTAAAGTTACTTCTGGTTCTTTGGAAATCATTCCAACACACAGATTTTAATTCCAAAAATTATGACTGTTCAATTATATTTAACAATTGTCACCAGACCTAAACTGTTCAGCTGTTTTCAGATTTTGACATATCGCTTCAGGCTGGATTTTCCAAGTCCTCATGCTTTGTTGTGCACAAGGCAGACAATTTGTCTTGCCTCTTTCATAAGTAATTGAAGGTAAACAGGGGAAAAATGGGGAGGAACAGGCCAATACAATGACTCACTGAGGATGATGACAGAAAATTGCTGCTGTCTGTACTAAGTGAAGGACTTAAAATAATCCATCAGAGACGAGGGCAGGCTTGCTGAGCTGGCTTTGCAGAGCTGGCTTTGCAGAGCTGTGTCGAAGTTAAACTAGGCTTCTTTTCTCAGGTAGGTCACCTATTTCTTTACTTCACTAATAACTGTCCATCTCCATTCGGAGGGATGCTGCCTTATGTTTCTAGAGAAGGAGGTGTAACAGACTCCTCTTTCCTCCTCTGTGACTCAATTACAGATGCGATCAACTCAGCACCAAACACAAAGACAAAACAAGCCTTGTACAACAGATAACTTGACAACCTGAGGCAACGCAGATCTGAATTTATAAAACCTCATTGGGGTTCACTTCTGAGAGCAGTCAAGTGCAGAGCTTGTGCAGATTATTAAATAAACTGGGGCTGCCCTTCAGCATCAATCAATTTCTCAAAAATTTATCTTGGAAACTTGGAATCTGTCTGAAATTTGGTGTAACAATTTAAAACAAACTCTGAAACTGAGCTACTTTCACATAGCTTGAGGTTATAAGCACTTGAAAGAGCTCCTCAAGTGGCTCCAGTTGTCAAATGAAGTGAGCACAAGCAGATTTTTTTTCTCAAAGGATTTGCTTACCGAAATCCCACATGCTGCACACTTCTTGCCAAATCGCTGCAGAAACTTCTGCCAGAAGGGAATGCTCACAGCTGCTGATACCTACAATTGACAAAAAAACATATCTACACTGTGCTTACTGTCTTCTTCAGCTGTAGAGTTCACAGACAATTTTTTGCCCAGTATATTATGGTCTGAAAGGAAGGTGAGCTTGCAGATTCCTGTTTCTCCTCACCCTTTGAGTGATTTTTTTTTTAATTCACTATTGCATATTATGAACAAAATCTATCCATGAGAGTGTTTTCCACAGTCAAATATCAGAAGGAAGTGTCTTAAAATTTCCTTTTCCTAATGTAAGCCACAGCAGTTAAAACTATACATGACACAGCCATTAAAGTTCAAGTATTGCAAACAGGCATACTTTGTGCCAATGCCTTTTGCCTCATTATCTGAACCTGACAAATGATAATTGAGTTAAGCTCTACCCATCATATAGGCAGAAAGTTGAAGTGCAAGATACACTTGTCTTAAGTTATACTTTGAGTACATATCCCATATGACATGTTCATTCTTAGGAACAACTTGTAAGAGAAACAGTCACTTACAGTCAGCATTACCATTTCATATACTGCAATACTCACCTGGTAGCAGCAACAACCACAGGCAACATAGAACCAGCACACTGAAGTATTGCTGCTAATGACAGTCTTACAATTGACCTAAATTCAAATGTCATCTCATTGTTACAGTTACATTCCACTCTTTACTGACTTTAACTCTACTGTCTCTTGTTTCTCTTGGTGTCCATTACTTGCAGAGCCTTAAGATACCAAACAGTCATCCCTTGCTCTCCAACATTTTGGTTTTAATCATTGGAAAAGATCTGTTTTATAATGTGGGAAAGGAAGAATCAAAAAGGGGTAGAAAGGGTGAGAGGCTGGGACCAAGAAGTGGAAATGAAGTTCCTCTAAGATGGTTCCACAAAGTCTCTGTGCCAAATGGCTCAGAAATAATGCAACAGCTTCCCTGAAAATGACTGCTGCAGTATTCTAGGTGGTAGGCTAATTCTCTACAAAATGCTTTGGAAGTGCAGTACATGCACATCCCAGTAATTATGCAACATTAAATGTGCTACTAGTGTTAAAAAGACTTTGGTCAGAAGGATGAAAATGGCAGTTTTCAACTAATACTACTTCTAATCATAAAGTAAATCATGAAATACAGGAACAGTGTGTAACTGAGTTATTAGTATCACCTAAGCAAGCAGAATTGTACCTCTGCATGTCAAGAAAAAAGATTCTCTAAAATAATCTTTTTGCCACACTGCCAACTGCTCTAGAGAGGAATCTTCATATCTCTGGATATTTAAAATATTTATCCTTGCAAGCTGCCTAGCCCAGAAGGCTCATGTGTATGAATACACAAATTAAAGATGTTTAATTTTCAGCATATCAGACTGGGGAATGAGAAAAAGGAGCTAAAATTCCAGACCTCCTTTCTGGCAGCAGCTTTTGCCCTTTATAGGAGCAGGAAGTAACTTGCAGGTAAAATGGACAGGGAATGAATGAAAAGCTCCAAAGCATTGATATTTTTAGAAGTACAGCAGGGAACACCAGCTTTATTTCAAACAGGCAATGCAAAAGATAGTGTAGTTTCTTAACAGCTTGTCTAGACACAAAACTCTTCTTGCCTTCTGTTATTTTATGCCAAAACCAGTGAGAACCAGCTATTAAATAAACACATGGGAGAGAAATGCCACTCACCAAGATGGTGACCACCAAATACTGGAAGTGATTGCGAAGATCAGCAGCATGAGTGCAGAAGAGGACAAAGTTGCTTTGCTCCAGCTGTTGAATCAAAGATGTTTGGTGACCACCCAAAAAAAAAAAAAAGGAAAATTAAAAAAGACAAAAATAACACCACATTCCATACTAGCCAAACACAGCTGATGACTGATTTAAATGCAGCATTTTGGAGTTTCATTCTTCCCTCTTTTTTGGAGTTTCATTCTTCCTTGCAACAATTTAAAGAAGCAATAATGCTCCTGCTGTCACTGGAGTAACATGCCAGTAATATTGGGGCAAACAAGAGGTAAACCTAACACAGCATAAAAATGATTAGAACCTTGTAAGAGGATTCTGTCTAAAGGAAGAATTCCCTATGTTGCAATTGCTTTGTGTTGTCACAGCCACAGCTGCAAACTACTGCAAGAAACTAACCTTCCTTTTCCATAGCAATGCCATAAATCTTTCACCAGAAGCTCTGTCTCCAAAACAAGCTACTCTTCAGCTGCAATCACACTCATGACAAGTTCCTGTAGTAAAGCAGCTAACTGCTGGTTTTGTACACAACCTTGGTGATGGAGTGTAGCTTTGGGTCAGATAGCTCCATAAGTGTGAGTACTGATCGGTTGGGAGGATCTAGCTGCACTGTGTTATAATGACAGATGAATCACAGAATCACAGAATGTTGGGGATTGGAAGGGACCTCGAAAGATCATCCAGTCCAATCCCCCTGCCAGAGCAGGAACCTAAATGAGATCACATAGAAAGGTGTCCAGGCGGGTTTTGAATGTCTCCAGAGAAGGAAACTCCACAACCTCCCTGGGCAGCCTGTCCCAGGGCTCCGTTACCCTCGCTGTAAAGAAGTTCCTTCTGAAGTTTAAGCGGAACCTCCTGTGTTCCAGCTCACACCCATTGCCCCTTGTCCTACCATTAGACATCACTGAGAAGAGCCTGGCTCCATCCTCATGACATTTGCCCTTAACATATTTATAAACATTAATTAGGTCTCCCCTCAGTCTCCTCTTCTCCAAGCTAAAGAGACCCAGCTCCCTCAGCCTTTCCTCATAAGGGAGATGCTCCACTCCCTTAATCATCTTGGTGGCTCTGTGCTGGACTCTCTCCAGCAGTTCCCTGTCCTTCCTGAACTGTGGGGCCCAGAATTGGACACAATATTCAAGATGTGGCCTCACCAGGGCAGAGTAGAGAGGGAGGAGAACCTCTCTCGACCTACTAACCCCTTCTAATGCACCCCAGGATGCCCAGATGAAGGCACTGCCACCATGCTTTTGCAGAACTCCGGGGGGTTCTGAGCACCAGAATATGGTTCAGGTCCAGCTCCAGCAATTCTGCACAAGTGGAATGACAGAAGAGGATTTAATACTCATGCCACAGCAGTTTGATCAACTCTTGCTCCTTTGTGCACTTGTAGATTATAAGTGGCCAATTATCTGTATATAAATTAGGATAAAAGTTATATCCCTTCTCTACTGTCACCAAAGCCTTCTGTAGTTTGTGTCCCAGTTTATGCTGCCTTCAATTTTAAACGCAGAATATCACACACTGGGATTATGGCCAATGCATCTTTACCTGCCTATTCCTTTGCTCACCAGTAATCCATTCACTAAATTCCATGAAATCAGTGTCCCTCCCTTGAATAACAACAGCAAGGGTTGCTCATGCTGGCTGAACTGGAACAATACAGCTCCCAGCTTCTGCCTCCCCTCACCTTCCCTTCAATCTGTACAATCAGAAAATAAAGAGATATGGACTGACAGATCTTCTCCTCTCTGGGTGTTGTCAGCAAGTACCTGGCTGCCAGTAACCAGACACACACTGTATCCTTACTGACTGACAGGAAGCTGTAAGGATCTGGACTATAAGGGACCTTTCCTCTTTCATCCTCTCCCTGTCTCTGCTGTGGCTCACAGTGCCTGCAGCTCCCAGATGTAAGCAGAAATGCTTCTGCTAATGTTTCTCACCTTTGGTCCTTCCAGCAAGGACTGACAGATGCTGTAAAGAACAGCCTACTAACTGTGCCCAAACCCAGGCCAACAGGAAAACTACAGCGCTTCTTTGGCAAACAGACTTCTAAGCAGAACTTCCAAGGAACTTATTCACCAGGACTGCTGGTGAACACAATGCTGTTCTCTTACATGCCTCATTCTTGCCCTTTGTCCTGATATTCACTTGACCCACCATGGCTCACATGACTAAGAGTCTGTTGACAAAAATGTGAATATTATTTGCTTTTCAAAATAAAGCCAACTTCAGTGGATATGTACAGGTTCACATTAAAATAATGTATTTACTGAGTTGAACATAGCTCAAAACCCAAATTTTAAAAAGGCTGCTGGACTTTGGGGAGGAAGGGTTTCTTACTGTGTGGCTTTAAGTTTTTCTGCAGCTTCTCTTTATTGTATTTGCATCTTTTTGTGGAAGCCACATTTGACTGCAGGTCCTCATTTGAAAACTAGCTCTGTCTAGCTCTGAGACAGGTAAGACCTCCTGCCTCTGAATATCTTCTTACTCTGACCTAATGCTTTCCATCACAAAAGACTCCATAAGAACCAGTTCAGCCATTATCAGAGAACAGTCACCTATGCAAAGGGACAATGGTTTAAAGCAGCACAGGCCATACAGAAGAACAGAGAGAAGAGAAAAAGCATTCTCTAAGCAACTGAAACCACAGGAGACTGTAGATGGATAACATATAATGACCCAATCTGGGTCACTAGGACTAGTTCCTCACCTTTTATGAAAAAAAAAAAAAAAAAAAAGAAAAAGAAAAAGCCATCTTTAAATGGTCAGGACTTTGGTTTCGCTTCTCATTTGAAAGAACCTTCTCCAGCCGCACAGGACCCCAGGCACCAAAAACGGACTCCGATTCCCTACTGATTAAAGGGAAAGGCACCACCCCTTAGATCACAACCTCCAGTCACCAGCCAAAGGTTATTTGCATTTTAGCTGCTGCAGACTCTCCCATGCTGGGACTGGAATGAGGCCAATGCACAGATTTAGAGAGTCTGAAGTTACCTGAACTGCTGTCGAGATGAGAAGAAATGAAGTCGTAAGCTTCACATATGGACCATGCTTCATGGTGAGTCCAAGTCCCTTACAAAAAGGAATTGCTCTGTCTGAATTTAAGGCATAAGGATCTAAGAGGAGCAGAATACATAAAATAACAATCTTTTCCAAAGATGAATGGGAAATAATGATTATTAAATCTAGGCATATTGAAATATAACTTACCATCTTTTTCCTTTACTCCAAGAAAAAGAACGACAATTCCAAGAAGATACACACCTCCTATGACCCCTGCTGCAATCATATAAACTTTTGCCTTTGGAAAAAGAAAAAGACATATTGGAAATTGTGACAGGAGAATGACAAGTTATTATGAAAACTTCAGTCTCTTTCTGGTGAGTCATCTGCAAATGAAGAAATGCCCATCTACATCCAGCCATCTGTCTGTCTTCTACCTCTCTGAAAAATGTTCGCTTCTGCAGTTCATTTACAAACAACACCCACTTTAGGGTAAATCCAGGGCACATAAGTATAAAGAAAAGAAACTGTGAACAAAAGGTCTACTGTGTTGGCAACCTGAATGTTTTAGCAATTTGCTTATGGTGAGACTAGCTGTAGACACACACAGTCATCTATCAAAAACATGCAGCATCCATAGAGTGATCTTGATTTTTAGTACCTCCAGTTGCTCTAGCTACACAGACTGCAATCTGTATCTTCATGCTGGGTAAGAAAGGCCTCAGTACTGATGTAAACATAATTACTACAGTTACTGCATTGATACAGAATGATAATAAAAACTTCCTTTAGGCTCTAATGAATTTTAGAAATCACATTTTCACGTCAATGTTTTGAGAATATGGTAGCTTGAATGCTTGTTTTCTTGGTTACTTAGTGAAATGCTCAAGCAAATTCAGAAATCTTTGCTTCCTATTAGCCAGGGGAACAAAGCCTCCAAGGATACCTCCCACACCATTAGATCACATTTATTGTTTCTAACTCTGATTACACTGACTCTTGAATAAAGCTTTAAAAAATTATTTTGCTTTAGTATTCTGTAATAATTTATTTTATGCTGTGTTATCAAATATAAAATAAGTGCTGGTTATAGAGCTTTATGACACAATGATTATTTGATAGGAAAACTGAATTCCAAATTATTAGTAATAGGTTGCAAATGGAATTATTATAAATCTAGGAAGCAGCAGGTAAATAGACAAGCAATTACAAGAATCTACTCCCAGATATAAAGTCACTTAGTTTAAATGCAAAGGTAGTCAGATGAACATGTAAGTACAGACAATCTTCAAGACAACAGCTTTTATTAAGATGTTTAAGTTTCAGAAGGGGACACAGTGAAATAAAGGAATGCAGGATATTCTTTATTTGGCATAAAGGTTTGGGGTTTTTAATATCAGTGCTGTAAACTAAGCCACAGAGTACTTTTATACTATTGGTTGTGGCTTGCACAGACTACAGACTGCAGTATTGTAGATACCTGAATTCACTTAAACAAGGTAATTTCAGCCTCAAAAGCAGCCTACCCAGGAGAGAAGGGGCTGAAAAAAAGGATGGTAACAAGACTCCATTATGAATTTTGTATTTTGTGTCTATTTGTTAATTTGCTTGAAGCAATTGAATTAAATGCTTTCTTTCACAGGTCATAGTTAAGTGTAATTGGAGCTTAAACTATCAAGGATATTCACAGTAGGCCAAATAAGATTCTCTGACCCTAAACAAAACTTGTTAGCCCATCTATGACCTGTATCAATATCCATGCTTGGTTTCCAGTAGGAAAGAATCACTCCTCAGCTTACAGTAACAAACTCAGGAGAGCTTAGAAATAACCATTTCTTCCACTTCCTTTCTTTAATAATGAGCAACATAATATCAGTCATTCACTAGGTCTTCTTTTAAATTAGGTGTTCTCTTGAGCAGCTAAGAATTAGTTCTCATGGCAAAAAGGGTCAAGGTCATACTCTTGAACGGCACTGGGAGAAACAGTCAAGATTCAGCCTCTTCTAAATATATTTTTAGATTGATGGAGGTACTTCAGGTTCATAAACCCTAGTCCTGCCTCAACTTACAACTCAATGTCCATCAGTCACACAATCAAAACTGACGATCCAACAGCCTCCATTGATCGTGCAGTTAGGTGCATGTTGTGTTGTGCGTGTTGTGAACAAAAGTCTAGTGCCCTGCCATGCGATGCAAGCAGCTCTCCCACGTGTCTTGGTGGCCAGGGATGCTCCTATAATCCAACCAAATTGATGCCAGGTTATGTGAGTGGCAAAAAAAATTCTGGTCCTCACAAAACAAGGTAGCAGGGAGTGAGATGGGTTGCAAGAGCAGTTCATTCAGACTATGGCCTCTGCCCAGGTCTGAGCACTCTTTGGGAAAAATGGCAGGAAAGAACAAGGAGTGAACAGAACCTTACCCATGGAAAACAGGTGGACACCATAATCCAGACTGTTCTCAACCATGGAATACTACTCATCTATAAAACCTGAGAAAGTGACACATAAAACACTGGAAGAAGGAAAAAAACAAAGACCAAACCAAATCAACAGGAAATCCTCACAAAAATTGAACACATGGCTGCTTGTAAATAAGGAATTGAAATGAGGAATGTAGTAACTTTAATTAAATCAAGCCATACAGTTAGAAAAAAAAAGTTTCCAGTCACAATGTGACTTCTTCAGATTTTAAAATGTTTGTGTCTAAAAGCTTTTCCATTGTTTCCTAGTCTTAGTAGCTAATTTAATGAAAGATATTACTTCTACCTACAAACTCTGGCTACTTTAGGCTATAGAGGTTTGCTCTTTTTTCAAAATAAAAAACTACCTGACAGTCAACTCATTGTGAAGCGTCTTTCTCCCTCTCCCTCCTACCTCAAAGAGAACAGAAAAGCACATGTAGTTAGACAGAAAGGAAATAAATCAAGATAATGTATTTGTTTCCTTGAAAGCCATTTAAGAGATCTGAAAGCAGAGGTCAGTGATTATGGCATAAAGCAGATTCAGACAGGGAATCTGCTGTGCAATGAAATTCAGCTTGCTCCACAACTTTTCAAGCTACTCCTCTTGACAGTTCACAGAACTGCAATAGCACAGTAGTTTTCTGCATCAAGCCATTGTCCCAGAAGCTAAAAAGGAAGACAGGATGATGTTCTGTGTATTGGTAAAATAGACACTGGAAGTTACCTAACAAGCAGCTTCAAAAATGCTTTAATGGGCTATAAAATGGCAAGGTCACTTACAGAAGCAGCCCAGGCAGTTCCCCAGATCAGCTCTCTGAGAAGCCTTACAATGACCTTTGCCAAAAAACAAAAATCAGGTAGCACAGAGGCAGAGAACAGTGCCTGGGAGTGAGGGGAGGCAAGGGCTGGTCCCCATCCTGGACTACCAGTGCTGGTGCCAGGGTATCCAAATTCAAAGCACGCATAAAAACATGCCTTTAGTGTGTGATTTTAGTGCTGCTGAAGAGCAGTAATAGGAGCTATTCAACTACAATAAGCAGAGCATGAATATGTACATCCTGATTTGCACCAAGAACCTGAGACTGGACTCAGGTCAAGGAATCTTCTTCATGGGGAATTTTTTATACCAGTTAGTACATGGACTGACAGAGAAATATATTGAAAAAAAAAAAAAAGACTGAACGAGCAATTGGTAAAACAGAACCAACAAACTGATGATTTCACAAGTGACATAGGAAAAAACACTGCAGAAGGCAATTGTTTGATGTAGAACCTGTTTCAAGACCGCTGGAAACAATGAAAGACTATAAAATTGTGTTCACTGAGGTTTGGATCAGGTTTTAGAATTTCCTCCCAATTATAAAACCTTCTCTGTTTCTCAAAAAAATCGCAAACTGAAGCATGAAGAGATTAAATTACTTGTGCAGGATTACAGGAAAAATCTGCTGTGGAAAATGAAATAAACAAGCATGGATCTCTAGGTTCATTCCACACATTAACCACTGAGACCTAGTCCCACTAATTGCCTCTTACCAACCATGTACTTTCAATAGTGCTTTGTACCTTCACAAGAATACAGATTCCAAGGAGGACTTACTGTTTCATTCACATAACAGCCATTAATTTTTAAAGGACATCTCTAGTGATAATTACTTTGAAAAGCAGCGTTGCTGAACTGAAGGATCCTGCTATATCCACCATTTTTTCATAGAATTATTTGGGTTGGAAGGGTCCTTAAAATTTCATCTAGTCCAGCCCACCCCGCCATGGTCAGGGACATATTTCATTAAATCAGGTTGCTCAAAGCCCCATCCAGCCTGACCCTGACTGTTTCCAGGGATGGAGCTCTACCACCTCTCCAGACAACATGTGCAAGTGTCTCACCACCCTCATTGTAAAAAATTTCTTCTTTGTATCTAATCTAAATCTACCCTTTTTCAGTTTAAAACCACTACCCCTTGTCCTGTCACTACAGGTCATGGTAAAAAGTCTTTCTCTCTCTTTCTTATAAGCCCCCTTTACATATTGAAAGGCCACATTAAGGTCTCCCTGGAGCCTCCACTTCTTCAGGCTGAACAAATCCAACTCTCTCAGCCATTCTTCAAGGAGAGATGTTCCAACCCTCTGACCATTTTCATGCCCCTCCTCTGGACCCTCTCTAACAGGTTCATGTCTTTCTTGTGCTGGGGACCCCAGAACTGGATGCAGCATTCCTGGCAGGGTAGACTAAGCTTTTCTTATTAAAATTCTATTTCAAACTTTAAATCAGCCCCGAGTGAAAACAAAGGATGGTCATGTCACCAAGCTGTGTGGTGCGGCTGACACACTGGAGGGACAGGATACCATCCAGAGGGACCTTGAGAGGTGGGGCTGTGGAAATCTCATGGAGTTCAACAAAGCGAAATGCAAGGTCCTGCA